ATCACCCGTCCCCAGGCTCTGAGTCATTTGACTGGCAGACTGATCTATGCGGACCATGTGGATAGGTAGTCACCATCGTGTCATGGTCATCGGGGAGCATCATTTAATCTCCATATCTTCAGATCGCTCGTAAACAAGGCACAAAGCGACCGCAGAAACTGCGGCACTTTGTTGGTGATATGGCTGGTCAAGCTGGAAAAAAAGTGGTAAAATGTATCCGGAAATGTAAGTGCGACAACAGCTGATTTTGACTTGGAGTATATTTGCAAATAATGATATCCAATAGTGAGATCAGATGCCGTCCTGTCGCTTATCCAAAGCTGGACGATAGAGTCGTTAGAAGAGAGAAAAAACTGCGGCTCCATACAGTGCATACCGTTGCTGGATTGGACGTGTTAACGAATAGAGAACCTAGGCATGACCAAGCACCTTGTGTGGGCCTAGTGTAAAGCGCACACGGACTCGACACATTTAGTTACGTCGCAGGTGAAACAATCTGTCGGAGTAACGTGCATACAGTAAGACTTGGACACAGTCAGGGACACTGCAATGGTTAGAGGTGTGTCACACTCCAGAACGCAGGTATCAAGGCAGATGATTTGATCACGCAGTATATGGAGGAAATGGAAGTAAACCTTCCGATTTTGTCTCACGGTGCAAGTGAGTGCGTCCACGAAAGCTGTAGCAGACGAAGGGGAATGGTATGGGCAAAGTCCATTGCCCACACAAACTGGAACTAAAAACTCCAGGAGTTTACAGTGGATAGCGTCGGAGTTCGCGAGGTGATCTTATATTAGTGCACCAGATCCCGTAGAACCTAAGCCACGGATGCTGCTAGCTGCTAAAATTTAGTCACAATACGAACCTGGGGGCACCAGCTGAACTTGATTGCATAAAACACTCAGTTGGAGTGCAGCCTAAATTTGTGCACCTTCCATATTTAGCAGCCGTGGAGTGATTCTTGGACTCGTGTTACTCTTGCGCCCATGTTGTTCACACTTTAGAAAACAACACGAGGCACTTGTGAGGTGGGTTGGAAACACCTGCCGTGTGAGTGGATTGCGACTCGCAACCCCAATTTGGACCGGGATTCCATTTGAAATGAACCTCGTAAAATTCAGTCCCGGAGACTGTATCTGGAGCAGGTTCATTTAGAGTACTGACCGCCTGGAATATTGCGCCTGAAGATGCATTAAACCAGGGTTCAGCAGGAGATGAAATGGCACAGACAATTGATGAGTTCGCCAGCTTCCCCATAAGAACAAAGCATGCAAATCTGTACTTTGGTTCATGTGAGTACAATAGCCAGTCCGAAGATGCGCAGCCCATTGTGTCGATAACATTTGGTTTCTGGCATGCTTTTCACCAAATCAAGAAGTAAATAAATAAATAAATGGTATATTCTTCGGCTGTGCGAGGCGAAGTCCAACTACATGATCAGATCAATGTGTACAGCAGGATCGTACAAAATAAGTAATAAACAGCCGTTCCACCGTTTCTCGCTAGCCTCCAAGGTGGACTGGCATCATTTAAAGTGTGCGATGGTGAGCGACCAATCCAGAAACTATCACCCACCCCCACCAGATAGACGATAGTTTACAACGTATTGATCAATGCTAAGGTGGTGTCCACCAACCGTATCTGCCGAATATGGCATCTTGCGGAATATTTGTGGCCGTAACCTCCGCACCTGATTGACAGCTGCACCGAGTGGTCCAACTGTGTTGCCAACAGCCCACACACACCCCCTTCGACGCACGCAACACGCTTCGATCGCGTTCAAGTGATTTCAGGTCCCCGCGATCGGCTACGCAGCAACCATACGACAAGTTAAGCGAACAAAAATTTGGCCCACACCAGCAAAAGTGAGGAAAACTTGCGCAGCGTGATGAGCGGACCGAATGATTAAAGCATGTCGGTGCGTAGGAAATGACAATCGCATATGATTATGTCCCATAGGGGTAAGAGCTACGGTAGGCACGAGTGCAAGAGAGTGCTATCCCATCACTGTAGCTGCTCAGGTTTGGTTATGTCTAGCCGTGTCACCACAGTCCATTAAAGAGGCAGCAATCAACAGCGAATTCAATCCGGAACAGCTTGCATCTGAGTCCAAATGCGGGGAGAGGACTACGGCAATGAAGATTGTAACCCACCACAATTGCGATGGGAGTTACAACACTCAAGACCGAAGCTGCACCCATGAAAGCGTCCTAGGATAATGCACCACATTCGCACACACACACACACACACTTCTATCCAACATATGGTTAAGGTGGTTTGCCGCATAAGCAGAGAGCATGGCGGCAGGAAGAATACTACCAAATTTGTGTCGCTGCGGCTACCCGGCGTTCGTATGACGGCGTGAAGAAGTGAAACGAAGTAGCAGAATCAATGGAGCTACAAAAAGGGAATAATGATGCAACTTAGTCCAGTTAAATAGCTCTGATCCGAGAAGTAGCAGACAGGTTTCTAGATGATATAAATCGAATCCATGGCAGCCACCAACGCGCAGCAGCAGTCATAGATTCCAGCCGAACACAGGGCGAATATGGAACACACTGTGCTGGCGATTATCGGGGGGATGAAACGGCCGCCAAGTGCCTAGTAATGCCCGTCTGACTATGTTTATTTGTGATAAATTAAACGTGTGGCTTGAGCACCAGAAGGTGACCAGTTAATTGCCATAACTTAGACCATAGTGCAGACAAAAGAGCAGAGCATAGATATGATAGAGAAAGTGAAAACAAATATGAAACCAAAAAGTTAGTAGAAAGACGGATCCAGAGAAAAAGATAACCATAAATTAAGGATACAAAGTTCGCAGAAACAAGTAACGGACAGGTATACGGGAGCACCAATGATTTCGTGATGAATTTACATCAGATAAGGCTTCTGAGCCTTGATGGGACTGGCCTCGACGTCCCCGCCCAAGAAGACGATAAGCGACAAGCTGACTCAGTCTCTCAACTAATCTCTTCGTATCTATTCCCCATGATATCGACCGATCACAATGGTCATGAGTTTGCCCGATCAGGTGTAACAATGAAAACAGTGCATACCAAAGGTAGATGCCGACTGGAAGTCACCGGACGTGGATAGTACAAGTCCGCCGCAATGCTAGATGGTCTGTTATCGGGAATGGGTGGCGCTTCGTGGAATCCGGTCGTCAAATGCGATCGGTTTTTCAATATCCCCAGCTTGTGGTTACCATGTCTTGATCCACATGGCAATGCTAAGCACACACCTCCTGGACTGGCAAGTTGATATCGCGCAGTCATCATAGATGACCGAGCCCCTTGCGCTACCGATACGGATAATAGTCCCGACTGTTATTTGTCCACCAGAAGTGAGACAGCAGTTTGAATAAGCGAACGTGTTAACTAATTGGAATGGGAGATGTGACTATCAAGCGGTTCCAAGTAAAAGAGACAAGAGCAGATGACTACTGTGGCGCAGTGAGCAAAAACGGGAAGCGCCGGATTAGGGGAGCAAACAAATATGTGGAAGGAAAAATTATAATCGTGTTCAGTAAACTTGGTCAATCGGCCATGCATTAGCTAGACATTATTCTAGAGATCTAATGGATACAAGCAAAAATAACAAAGCAATTTCAAAATTTTCTGGTACAATGAGTAATTCAACAGATTTGATGGTTAAAATCAACTAAATGTATTAACACGGCGCTCGTCACTGTTTTCGTGTCACCCCCACACAGCCAAGTCGAGCAATGCTTACGGATTCTCTCAGTCTACCGGTTGTTCTTCCGATATAACATGCTCGATATGAACAACTGAAATAGTATACACAGAAAGAAGTACTTGACCGAGAAGGTTTGTCCTTGAGTTGTAGCCTTATGATTAGCGCTGAAATCTTAGCCGTAAGCTTGCTGTGTAATAGGTACGGTTTATGGCGTTGGATAGCCTTCTAGACGTCGCCTGCGCTATCCCATCCCATTTGAACGACAACGACAAAAAAAACCAATTTCTTTCCAACCGAATCGGTTTTAGCCCGCGCTTCTCGGCACCATATTTCTCCGAACAAACTTTTCGGGATACTCGTTTCTCTCAAAAAGACCACTTAAGAAATTTAGCTCTTCCAGAAGCATGTTCTCAGTACATAATTTAAAACAGTTATCGTTGAAGCACCGCTAGTTTCGCACCGAGCTTTAAGCCAACCGTCTCGTAGAATACTATTAACTGCTCTCAGCGTTCAGATTGCACAACGATATCAATATAGTATAATATAATCGTAAAGTTTTGTACACGGCTTTAATGGTTTTGAACTGACTTCGGACAGTTATGTTGACGAGTTACGTTCGATTATCGTTGTCTGCGCACCATAGCTCATGTCTGGTGGGAGCATCGCGTGAACAGTGAGCATGATCGGCGCTGTGTGCTTGGTGTAGGAAGAGCAAGTGAAGCGCTCAGCACCGTTATGTACGGCACCAGATTCCGATGACTGGGACACGTGTTGCGCATGCTAGCACACATCGTGCGTTGTTTGCGCGCCGGGGATGTGGATGGAAGAAGAGGGGGGCCAAGCGGTGACTTGGTCAAGAGGAATGAAGGCCCTCACTTCGAAGTTGACCTCGATTGGAGACTCTCGGTTCCCTGGTTGGGATCCGAAAGACGATAAACACGTTTAGTTGGATACACTGGTTGACATGGCGAAAAGTCGACATCAGTGGTGTTTGTGTTATGAATGTCTTTGTCCCTCCCCTCTCTTTAGCTTCCCACTCGAACAACGATCACAAATGTGATATTTAGCAGTACGTCATATTTTTTTAGCTTTTTTAGTCAGAATAGTTTAAGCTCTTTTGCTTTTTGTAGTGCAGAACATTAGCTATGGTGTATTTCTCACCCTCGGCTAAGATATACTGTTGATGATGCTGATGACTGCGGATATCGAGTGGTGGGATTAGCCCATTAAGCCGAGCGGACATGTGAATATCTCGACAAAGGTAGCAGCATAAATAGCGTACTTTAAACCCGGAACTCACCATTTAGCAGAGTACGGTGGAGGCGGTGAATTAGCCCATCCAAAGCCAGGCTGAGTCATTGGAGTGGCTTGCCAACCGGAACCGGGCTGGAGAGGTACGCCGCTGGATGGATATGGAGTATACCGTTGCTCTGTCGATGTCATCACCGTAGGGTAAGGACAAGTAGACTGATGTCCGAAAAGCGCAGTCGCATGTATAAAAAAGCAGAGGGAAAAAGACATGATGCCCAGTGAACTAGCAAGTATTTCATGCGCTTGGAGATCAAGAGAGTGGCAAGCACAACTGATGTCAGCTACTGAAGTCGGTAGTGGCTTATTCACAGCAGATCTATTCCGGCTACACCGAGACCGAATGCTCATCAGTCACGGAAAAATACAAGAATGATACAAAGGAGAAATATGTATCAGGTTACGGAATGATGCTCACCGTTGGGATGCCAGGATAGGCGCCGGACCCCCCATTGGCGGTGGTAGGCAGGGTTGGTGACACCAGGGTGGAGGGAAGACGCCGGTTGCGGCGACAGCAGAGACAGTAGATGACGGCCACGACCAAAGCGATCACAGCCAAGGCGGCGATGGAGCCGGCGATAGTACCCCATCTGTAAGCGAACAAGTGTGTGGAACTTGGTTCCAGGGCGAAATAGTCAAGCAAGATGATGGATGCCACAATCGCACAATAAAGGGGTGACATGATAGAAGCCAGGCGGCAGCGGGGGCCACACTCGGTTTCTGCTACTGTTTTCTACTGAACGGCGATCGAGAGCAATAATGAGTACTAAGTTCTAGTCAACAGACAAAACTTATTCGCATGGATTCATTGATAGCGAAACACATTAAAATGATTAGGATTGCGACTGTGATAGTGGATCACACAAATATGTTTCGTTACAAGACTTCTTGGTGTTTTGTCGATGTTTGGGCGAACACGGTGAAGTGCAGTGCAAGACAACCTCGGTCATCGCAGGCAGGAGTGTTAGTTCGATGGACACGAAATAAAATGGAGTATATCATATGGCGCCAAACATTGTGAAATGGCTGCAAATGTGAAATGCAACTGATCCAACAATTTCGCTAAAAAAACGATTGGTGGCGCAATACGAGTGTCCCACGCGCTACATTAACTTCACTCCAAAATGTGTCACCTCGTTGAAATTATTATCTATTTACGAAGAAGAAGAAGATAGATTCATTGGTACACATACAGATTAGAAAGGAAAAAAGGTGGGCATACCGCTGTAGAACCTGTGCGCGTCAGAATCTCATCTTCGGCAATGTAAGCGGAGATGATAAGACAATAGCCTGTACACTGAGGATGCTTTAGTAAGCTTCCGCTATCGTGAGTCCTCGGGGGTCCTTCGATTGGTCTACTGGAAAAGTTTTTGTATATTGAGTGGCAAGGTGGATGTAGGCCCGCTAATTACTGAGTTCTGCTTCCCATCACCAAGGGGATCGTCATTACCCGCTTTAAGCAGTCTAGGCCAAAAGCCTTTCCGATTACATACGTATATCTGCGGTGAATGTAAAAAGTCAAAGACGAACGGACCAGTAACATGGACGTACCAATTAAAGTCGTTTCAAAGGAGTGCTCGGGTCTCCATGTAACAGTCAAAGAATAACCTTAGAGAAGAGGACGACCGGTGTTACATTCGACGCTTGGAGACAATTTAGAATAATATCAGGGACGAAGAGAGCCCCAGTGGCATTGACCCACTGCAAATAACCCCACGCAAGTGAAATTCTTCGAAAACCGCCTCACCAATGGTTATCAGGGTACTCATGCTGGGGATATCCATCCACAGGTCTACAAGCCTTGTATTTCCACAATATATGCCGTACGGTATGCATCGATGTGGTATGAAGTTCATTTTGTAACCTGCCAGTGTTAAGCCGGTGTAAAGCTTCCTTAAAACCACATTTGGAATTGTACTTCATTTAACTTTACATATGGCAAAGCCTAATACGCACACCACGTGACTCACACAATGTCAACATAGCATTCTGACTTCTATCCGCCAGCATGCCGGCCCGACAAAGCACGTGACAAGCATATGCGATTGAGAATGTACTTTATTTCACATCCACAAATAACGGATATAACTGTCACACCAAGCCGCGACACACAACTGGCCGACCGGACAACGGACGCATGCGGTTCCATTCGGGTGCTCATGGCTCGATGCAGACATCGTCGTAACCGTCCGTACTCTGACTTGGACTCAGCCATCATACAAGCACATGCGACAAGTCTTTCATGCACCCTTATTAGGTGTACAATAGTAGCAGTTAAATTAGTGTATAATCTGACTTGGTAACTAGTTTGGTTAAATCGGCACTAATATCAGCTCTAGTGCTTCTCGGGTAGCAAGCTTTCCTCCTGTTCAGTTTTTTTCCATAGTGCAAAGCCTTCTACTGCATCGACATTAATTAGCGGTAAAGATGTCAACGTGCAGCTTCCACCACTGTAGAGACATCAGTGTATTGGTGAGAAACAGATGAGCACTTGACAAAGTTCTCATCCTTGTCCTTTATTCTTAACATTTTGAATGCTATGAAGATACATTTTTTATTTTGCTAATGTGAGAATTCCTGCAAATAGCCGAGATACCAATAGAGATCGCGTGTCGCAATCCAACCACATCGCGGATATTCCGAAGTCCAATTTTGGAGCGCGAATCATAAGTTGCACGTACATCGCTAATTAGGACATATTTTTCTCCAAAATACACCTTGGCCACAGAACATTTGAGAAAAGTCTTGAAGTCAGGTGGTCATTGCAAGTTCTTAAACTAAATGCATTGAACATCACGTGGTTCAATCGTCAGGTATGTAGTGGCAGGCATCTCATCTGGTTGGTTATACCGTTCCTTTGTCAGTTGCAGCGACTTCCACACAAGGACGATACCCTGTTTGACGGGGAAGATGAAACGTATTTTTAAGCACAGCAACACTGAAAAATTCCCTCTTGGATCGTGTGCCTAATAAACATTCAGGTGCGTTTTATTTCGCTTCTAAACATACAAATTTGACACGTTGTATATCGATCTATCGAAAAGGTGAAAGCTTTGTCTTCGTAAACTCCATCACATCATGATCCCGACGCACCGTACTTGTTAGTTTTTGGTGAACCTAACGAAAATCGTCGATATAGTGTCACCATTTGATCGAGTGACAATTTTACACAACGCCCACTCTGGCGTCTGTAAATGCACTGTAGGAGATGCTATGTTTTAGTACATTCGCAATGGTGGGGCTATCAAATTGGCCTTTGCTTTTCTCATTGAGAAATCATTTTTACTCAAACTACTGCGGATTTATTGGATTCAGAAAATGCATTTGCCATTTTGTTTATCGGGACTATTTTTGACCTCGATGTTCCGTCAAGTTTGAAATCTCTCCGCAATACTGCTCCCCACCAGCGTATTATTCACTATGCTCACAAAGCACACAAAGTAAACGAGTTATGCGGAAACGTTCTTGTACATTGAGAAAACACTGTGCTGGATGATAAGTAAGCCTTAGACGTGGCTCAGGTGACAAGACACAAATTCCACTGATCTTGTCCAGCACTATTCGATCACCCCTTGGAAAAATGACGGATCTTACCGCTTTTATACAGCAAACTGAATATTTGAATGCAACCATTGTGATGCTTCAGAAAGCTGGTTGCATGTCGATGTAGAAGACAATGTTATTCAATTTGCTGGTTATCTCCCCATCAGATCCGACCGCCCCGGAATGCTTCGAAATCGTAGAGGGGGTGTCATCACCTACGTCCATCATCACTGGTGTAGCTCGCCATCTGTATTTTTTTTACCCACACAATAGTTGCAATCAGCTGCCGTTTGATTGAATGTAAGCCAAAGTTTTTGTGTGTCTTTCTTATTATTGAGAATGTATACGTACCCCAACACACAAATATAAGAGTGGAAAATTTTTGCGGATGATCCGTCCCTCGGCGTTACTACCTAAACTGGACCGCTCAGTCTGTCATCGGTGGTGACTTCACTACAACTGATACCCCTTTCATCCAGGCACCTAATTTGACTAACCTAGTGGCCTTTCCAACCAGACATGTAGCGCAACTAGGTTTCGTCTTCACAAATCAGGCCTTTTGGTTATCCGCACAAAAACATGCCTCCCTCGGTAACTCAGATCATTGTATCATAAAAGTGTGTCCCGTCGTTTATGGTAAGACTTATTCCGGTTCACTGGCTACTAACCAGTTCAAAACTGTGAGGGGACGAGATAGTTCAGCATCCAATATTGCGAGACTCCAGCAAATGCTGACTTCTACTGATTTTACAGTTTTAAACAACGAAGATCTGTTTATGCAGTGTGATCATTTCACTGACTATTTTAACTTATGTTTCGATCTTTGCTGTCCGGTAGTAACCATCCACTTACGGGTCGATAGATTCTCCTCACCATCACTCAAGCAACTTAGTAGGAAAAAGAATCAGTCTACAAACGTAAAATGACTGCCCGTATAGAGCAACTCTCACCAGCATTAAAAACAGAAACCGTTTTATGCAACCACAACTGCCGAGACCTATGGAGACTTTTAAAGCAGCTATGCGGTAAAAGCTCCAATAAGCAGATTGGATTCGTGGATGTAGAGAAACACAATTCTGAGTTCTGTTCTTCTTCTTCTTCACAGGAAGCATCCTCCACCCCTTCATTCCCTTTGCATTTGTTCTCTGGCTCTGGTCCAAAAATCACATTCCAACACGTTGAAGTCAAGCGTGAAGTCAGAAATCTAAACTCAAAAAAGGCTAGTGGACCCGATGCTCTTTCACCAGTTATCTTGAAAGTGTGTGTCAAAATGCCCTTGACGGATCTTCTTAATCAATGTCTATAGGATAGAATTATTCCCGATATTTGGAGGCCTGTCAGGATAACACCCGTACCAAAGAAGGGATCCATGAAATTCCGTCCGATCGCTTGTATATCCGTCATGCTGAAAGTGCCTTGGATCTCAACAAGCACTCAGGCCGTGGATGTATGTCAGTTTGCGTACAAACCCCGAGGTTCCACGTTGGATGCTATACCATACCTTGTTAACTCCATGGCATCATAATTGGATGCGAAATGCAAGAATGTGCGGCTCCTCTTCCTTGATTACACCAACGCTTTTGGAAGTGCCGACAGATCAATTTTGCTTAAACAGCTGTCCGCGAAGGGTGTTCAACAAGCAGCCTGCAAACTGATGAGCAACTATTTCGCGAACCGATCACATTTTACCCAGCTAAACGGTAAAAAATCCCACACTAAGTGATGACTAGGACGTCCTAAAAGGAGCAATCTTGCCCCTTCTTCTATCCTCTCTATACACCGTAATGCTTCCAACCCCCCCCCTCCCAAAAACTTTACTGGACGTAAGTACGCTGACGACGTAGTCTTAGGCGGCATTTCTTCAGCTGCTGAATCATCAACAACTTTCCAAATCAGGTTGGACGAACTTCAGCAGTGGTCGTCGTCCTGATCGATATTCTCAACGCCTTTAAATGTCGCCATGTAAGTTTCTTTTCTCCGCACTGAAAAATGTCTGACTGTGGCAAACACCCCTCGCCCCATGGTCGTAAGCGATCATAACATACCC